AGTGAAGTTCGCTTTACTGCATTTCGCTGCACGACGACGATGATGATGATGATGGTGATGATGATGATGATGATGATGATGATGATGATGATGATGATGACGATGATGATGGTGATGATGATGATGATTGTAGCAGGAAGTCACCCAAGGCTCAAACGGAATCAACGCGCAAATGAGCCAAACAAACCGTGCATCATCAAACCGTGCAAGAACTGAAAAATAAAACTCAGTGAAATCCGAGGTAGGTATTAATTTGGGTGATGAGGAAGCAGTCAAAAGCTGCTCCGTTCAAGGAACAAACAAACAAACACAACCCGATCAGCTGCAAACATTAAAAATGCGCAAATAAAATAGAGCCTACTTGTTGCGGATATGACCCACTAGGTCGTGACAGCGTATCCCCGCCCGATGATGATACATGATCACCAGGTGATGCGGACGATAAGCCTCCATGAGAAGTTCCTGGAGATGCTGCATCTCTCGCGGCTGCTTGAGCGGCAGCTGTAACCATAGGTCCCGAACCGATACTCATTCCCAAATTTAATCCGACTGCGGTAGCGAACAGATTTCGTGTTGAGCCGGCCGGTCCGGTAACCGTATCGCGTGATTGTCCACCAGGAATTGGTCGAGCAACCCGAACTCCCGGATTGTTGGTTGCCGTTTCTCCCTGAGTATTGGTCGGCTGATTCAACGCGCCCTCCGCATTTCGAACCAGATTGCGCCACAGCAAGCCCATAGTTGTCTGTTCATTTGCTGCAGCCACAGCCGCAGCGGCTGCTGCAGCTGCAGTCCCGGCATTACGATTCGCATTAGCTAGTAGGACCGTCGGGATACCTAAATCACGACGACACGTTGGACAGGTAGGATTTTGTTCCAACCAACTGCGCAAACATGATTCATGAAAATCATGACGACATGGTAAGCGTCGCCAGGTATGCATCGGTTCCCAACAGATCGCACAAACCTCGGGTGTGGATTCCTCTGGTTTTTCCGACCAGGATGATTTATCAGTCGAGTGGAATTTGGATTCGGTAGATGAATCGGGTGCAGGATCTTCCTGTGAGTTGTCCGGATTATTCTCTACACTTTTGTCCTTAGATCCGGAGTTCTGATTAAACGGAAATAAACGAGAATAATATGAGAACATTATTCAATGTATGATGAGAAGTGGATCATTTTTACGATATGAATATATACAAATATATGTTTACCTTTACTTTATTACATCTGGCTCTTTGGAGAGCACGATTTTGCTTCAAAAAGATCATGAGATTTCTAAAAGGATTTTGATGCAAGGAACATACCCAAAGTCACTCAGCTTTTTAGTTTGAAAGAGAGAGCACATCGAGCCTNCCTTTACGAAACAAAGTGGGGACTGCAGGCCAACAGTGTGTTAGAGCACGAAGGTTATTCGCCATTCGCTATATATATATATATATATATATATATATATTGCCTTCTAAACGCGAGACACCACTGTTCCATAAAGAAAGAGAACAACGTCATCGTTATAAAATATCTGGAAGTGGAGGAAACTATTTGCTCCGCATGCACTTTAGACTGACTATAGACCAAAAATCTGTTGCCTTTATGTTTGATTCGAGACATCACGGTAAAATTTAGAAAATGATAAACTTCACAGATAGATGATCATGCTGCATATTCGATATTATCTATCACCCTGGATATGAAAACGTGGCGGGAGAAATACTATCTCGTAGTTTCTGCTCGGCATCCACATCACTTGAACCACTCAACAATCAAAACCATTCGTTATCATCCGGCCTCAGAAACCCTCATTATGGTCGGGGATCGGTGTCTAGGGTTGCGGCTGGTTACTCCACTGTTGCACCTCGCAAAATGCTCCCATAGGAAACAAGCGTCTCAAAAAGCCACTGCTGATGAAGCCCTACTCACTGCCTTCTCATAGGGCGGAGATGTTTTCACCCCAAAGTAAGGGGGCAAAAAGCCGACAACCGGGTTGGTGGACCATTGGCACTTTACCTAGGCTAAAAACCTGACTACCAAGCCACCGAGAAGAGGTGTATGAACCACATCCACACCTTCCCGGTTGTGGTCACCGGCTCGACTAGGCATCAACGTGTATTGGGCACCTTGGACGTTTAACTCGATCCAAAGGGTATATGATCCGATGAACTGGACACCAGACCCCAATGGATTGAGGTTTTCATACACCGCCCCGATGCCTTGCGAGTTAGGCTTTGGATAGCCAAAGGCTTCGTTAATGGATTCCTCAGGAAAATTTGCCTGCCTTGGCCCGGGCAACCTGACAGTATTCGGTCCATATGCAAATCGTGGAACGCTTTTATTTTAAAAAGACTATTGTACGGTGTTTTGTTTGGCACAGTCTGGCCTCAGACATGTGTGAAATATATAATATAATATATAATGTCATCCAGGAGTCTTCCGCATACTTCATTTTGTTAGAACTGAAAATCACCCCACTTTATCGATCAAGTGAAATCTGTCACCAGTGGCTGCTCAACCCGTGCTGTCGGAAATCTGATCAAAGCCACCGCACTACTTGAAAGGCCCAGCATCGAATTCGGAGGACTGATTCCGGTCATAAACTCAAAACCGATACCTGTTGACAATCGTAGTTAATTTCCTTTCGCTGATGCCTGTCCTGACCTAGCAGCTGATAGTCATCCCGTGTGCCTACAATCCTGGCTCAAACGGCCAAGTTGAGAGCCAAAATAGGACCTTCTTTGTAAGACCATCGTTCTCGCAGCGAAATCGAGGGGCCTGTGTGGTACTCAGCTGGAAACCGTTTTTTTTTCAGAACTCCTCCACTCCATTCGATTATGCTTTGTAGAACCCCGATTGCGACCCCTCACAAGCGACGAAAATTCGGCATCAGGAGTCTCCATACCAACAAAATTGAGCAGATCAGGAGCTGTCTTGACGCATCACCCTGTAACATTAGCAGAAACCGAGCCCCTGGTTGACAACTTTGCATCAATCGAATGTAACCCAAGGTACGCTCATATTCATTTCCAAAACGGGCGGGAAGACTGTATTCATAAGCTATCTGGCTTCCAAAGGTCAGATCTCTGAATTACCAACACCAGAAGTCAATGGATCTTCAATTCCCGAATGCGATTCCCAGCTTCCATTCAACGTAGGGAGAAACAACTACCAGAACCCAAACCCCACGAACGTTTTTAACCCCTCACGCAAAACTCAGATCCACACAATACTAAACCCGATATGTATTCGTTAGCAAAAGCGCAGCAATTGATTCAAACCTAGAATTTGAGAAACCGGGAAGCTTAAAATACTTTCGGTATACACAAAATAATATCGATCAAAGCAAACATCGGAGATGAAAGCGATATCAAATTCTTGTTTATTGGTATCATATTATTCCGCACTCGTTCCTCTAAATTCTACCCTCGTTTTTTTCAGCTCCCATCGTTGTTGACTAAAGCCTAGATATTTGGTCTTTGTCTTCGCTCTATTCAACGGTTTCTGCAATCGTTCAGATAGCGTACATCTCCGCTGGTCACCGAATTATAGTAGCCCACTGCTCCCTTTGACCTTTCAGGTATGAATAGATTTCCGGTTCGACAAAAGCCATCCTGTGCAGTTCATTGGGTCAAAGAAGCGAATAGGCTATCAATGTAAGTTCGCATGCAGTCCCTATGCGATTAGTAGCAACTCTGCGAAAATTAGACATCGAATAAGTAGACACATGGAGGGTAACGCGTAAGAATTAAGTCGGACCTGAACAAGTGTGTGATAAGTGAAATAGAGTCTTGTATCCGTAAGTCGAAGATGCAGTATTCGTCTAAATCGAAGATTTTAAGAGTTCTGGGCAAGGTAACATCCTGGGTTATCGGATAGTGTGCGGACGCTGAATAAAGCCAGATAAAGATATTTCCATTCGATCAAAAAAGTTTCTGATAAGCTCACCCTACCAGTTATACTATGGCTGACACAAACCAAGTGGTAGAAACGGTAGGCGTCTGGCGTATTTTCCAGGTGAGCGGATGAGCTAGATTAAGCATGAGAGTTTCCCAATAAGTCCCATGTGTGTGTGAAGAATCCTTTATCGCGAGGAGCATGAAAATTGCAACGAGCTTTTTCAAGTCGACGTTATCCCGCTCATCACTAGGTTTACCGTCATTTATTCCTACCTCGGAAATGGAGGACATTAATTCATTAATTCATTCATTATTCGTATGGGGACGCAATACTGGAAAATACAGTAAGTGGTTTCCAAAACGTTGTAATTGAATGGGCAGCCGGAGAAAAGCTGTGCAATTTAGAGTACGCTGACGATATTGTCTGTTTCGATTAATTCACGCGGAATGCGCAAAGTGCATTTGACAGACTTTCAAGTTCTGTAACTTCATTTGGTATGCGCTTTGCACCTTCAAAGTGCACTCTAACGCTTGATCAAGAATTAGAACTAGCGGCTTTTTTATTACACATTTGTGTGATGAACAGCACACGGAATGGACCCCAGAGTCGCAAAGATCTGCTTTTTAGTGATGAAAACCAGGTAACCTAAGCCCCGGGACTTGGAGTGGAGAACCATATAAGGCCCCGGTAGGTTAGGCGCGGTATTGAACCGGACGACATCAAAGCTGCCTAGGGCTTAGGCGGGTTTAAACACTTCAGTGTGACCGAGAATGAGCGTCTCAGGGTTGATTGATCACCCTTCCCTTGCAACTCGCGAAGTGCTTCTATACGATCAAGTACCTCGAACCACCTCTGCTCAACTCATCCGGGGTTGGAACCAGCCTGTAAACCACTGGCGGTTCACCTGGGGGATTTGACTAAGAACCCTGATTGCAAGAAGAGGCGTAGGAGCAGCATATACCCATACCTTTCAGGTTGTAGCAGTGATCACCGGCTCGAGTGATCACTAAAGTGTATTGGGCACCTTGGACTCCAAAAGGCACATGTTCCAAATAACAGGACACCGAGCTCCAATGTATTGCTGTTTTCGCACACCGCCCCGTTGCTTCGCGGGTCAGGCTTCGGTTGTGAATTCGGTTAGAAAATTCACCTATCTTGGCGCTCGCAAGCAAATCGTGGAAGGTTTTCTTTTTATAACGATGATTGTATTGTGATTTGTTTGGCGCACAGTTTGGACCCAGACATGTGTGAAATATATACACCACCTAGGTAGTTGCGTAACAAATGAAGATAGCATAGTAAAGGAGGTAACCAAAAAATAATTCCTAGCGTCGAGTGTGCCTTAGTCGGGACTGAAACATCCTTCACACCGACGTGATGTTTCTTTGAAACTAAATGACCGCATATATTTTTTCATTGTGCGGGTAAGGAGTGGAAGACATTGATCGCCACGAATTATCTGACAGACGATACTTACGTAGTTTGGCACCAGTTAGATGACCTGCGCGTGGAGGCCACACTGAGGAGAAGGATTCGGTGGAAAATTCGTCATCATATAGAATTCATATTATTACGTTTCGGTGGTTCAGATACATATTGCACATACCCAGCTTTCGTCCACTGCAATGTGCCTAATTCGCAGTTGCGGCTCCAGGTTGGAGGAAAACCACGGGGAGGTAAACAGGTGAAGTGGAAACGAAGCATCAAGAAATATACAGAACTATTAGACACGACAGATGTCGTTTAGCAGTTCGACAATCGATGCTTACGTAGTAACTTAGAGGTCGTCGGATGTGTGGGAATGCATCGAACGTGAACTCGATAGCCCATCGAATCCAGCTCAATCGGCTCCGTTGGTTAGGACACGTTTTGCTTATGTCCGACGGTCGCCTACCACGGCGCGCTTTTTCGCAATGGCTGTTGCAGGCTGGAAGAATCCACATGGAGGCCAGCAGATTACGTGTAAACGAGGTGTGAAGAGATGCACAGAGCAATTAGGTAGAGTAGGTGTCTCTCGTCTTCCGGGTTGGGGTTCAAAATACTCCGAAACCGCATGGTTGGAGACATTGAAGGTTATGGCTGCGAACGGACAGCAATGGCGATCACGCTGTCACTTATCAGACCAGAATGCTTCAAATAGTATTTATGCTCAGTTGGACTGTGTACTCTGTATGTTGACCATAGAGGTTCGCTTTCTTTTCCCGTCTATAAAAATAGACCCAATCCCAGTCCTCCTTACACAATATCACTCACCATGTATGTAACATGAGTATAGCAGCGATCAGTGGAGTTCGCTTCATTGTATTACGCTGTACAACGATGATGATCAGCAGCAGGTGTCTCGCATCTTAAACGTTGGAGTCAAAAAGACTCTGTAACTCGTTGGCTGAAGACACTGAAGGACATGGTAAATAACCAACAGTATTGGTATTTTTGTTGCCATTTATTATAAGGTCAAAATCCTTCAGAAGATTGATATGCCGAGTTAGATTATGCACTGTGTTGACCATCCAGTTCAGTTCAGTTTGTACAACAATTAACCACGCATATTCGTGCGCCAGTTTTGGTTGTTGTCTTTTGGCTACCCATTTCGATGAAGAATAGGAGAAGAAAGGAAAGTTGAAAGTGGAGTCCAAAATGGAGAAACTCAGTAGTCTAAGGTTGCAAAGAAATTGAGAAGATGCACGAACGCCACTGTTTACGACATTCAGCCATGTCACTCAGTGTCTCTAACCATCGGTTACGATCATCCCGAGGTCCCCAGCCAGGGAGCCTAACAGGACCTATGTGACCCAGTCTCCTGGTTAGGGTTTTCATACCCTCGTGCCTAGTCTTAGC